TGGTGCGTGAGCTTCCCACTGCAGCGGCCTCTCCTGTTGCAGGGCACAGGCTCTGGGCGCAGAGGCTTCAGGACGGTAGTGCGTGGGCTCCGTAGTTGCGAGTCGCAGGCTTCATTGCTCTGCGGCATGTGGGATCTCCTCAGAGCAGAGATTGAACCTGTACCCTCTGCTTCGGCAGTTGGACTTTCCTCTGCCGTGCCACCGGGGAAGTCGGCCTCTAGGTCTTTTCTTTTAGTGCTATGCTTTTCATGTGTCTGGGTTAGAATCTCTCTAAGTTTATCCTATTGCAAGCTTGTTGAACTTCATGAATTTGGAACGTTTTTGATAATTATTTCTTCACATATTCTTTTTGTGCTTTTTCCTTTCCCGTCTCCTTCTGGGATTCCCACTGAGTGTATGTGGGTATAATAAAAAGATAATCTCGTAGGCTCTGTTTATTAGTACCCTTTCCTGTTCGTTTTTCTTGTGTTTTTCAAACGTGACAGTGTCAGTGACTCATCTTCAAGTTTGCTGCTGCTTTGTTCTCTGAGATCACTCAAGTCACTGCTGAGCCTCTAGTGAACTTTTAATTTCAGTTGTCTGTGAATTTTGAGAATTTCCGTGATTCTCTCTTGGGTTTTCTATCTCTACACATTGATATTCTCTGTTTGGTGAGACCTTGGTTCTTATATTTTCCTTAATTCTTTAGAAATAATTTCCTTTATTTTTCTAACTATATTAATAGTGGTTGATTTCAAGTATTCATCTCGTTAGTCCTTTAAGGTTAGTTTCTGTGACTGATTTTTTCCCCTGCGTGTGGGCCATATTTACTTGTTTCTTTATGTGTCTCATAAGTGTCTTGTTGAAACTGAACACTTAAGATTATGCATTGTGACAGTTTTGAAAATCACATTCTTCGCCTCAGCCTTGCTGTTGTTGGTGCTTACCGTTTTTGTTGCTCACGGCTGACTTACTGACCTCATAGTTCTGTGAAGTCTGTATATTTGGGTGTGTGTGGCTACTCTTGTCCTCTCTGCTTGGCTGGGTTAGTGTTGCGCTGATGATGAGGTTTCCCTCTCATTGCCCTTGCTGAAGGCTCTCTGTGTTGAAGCAGAGTTTCAGTGTTACGGCAGGCGGTTTATGCATTTCTGCCTTTAGACCTCTTTGCTGCCGCTTGTGCAGAGTCTCAAGGTCAGCCAGAGGTGAGACATTACTGCTGTAGTCCTTCTTGGGCATGCACACAGCCTTGCCCATGTGGTCTTGTACATTCCCAGTAATTTGTCAGAGCTTTTCAGAGTTTCCTGAGAACATCTCCTCTTCCAGTTTTTCCTTGTAAGTTTTTTTTTTGTGTGTCAGTTTCTTTGCCTGGAATGTTATTGCCATCTCAGGCAGCTGCCCTGTTAAACAGTTGTGAATTCTTTTTGACTGTGGCCTCAGGAAGAAAGATCTCTCACTGAGCATGCTCTGAGTGAGGTCAGGTAAAGACAAGCCCTGTGAATGAGGGCTCGGGAATAAGCCAGACAGATCATCAGAAAAGGACAGTCCTCGGGGAATGTGGATTTTTTTAAGGCCTCCAGACTTGTTCAACTCAGAATTTCTAGTGGTTGTGAGTCTGCTGGTTTTCAAACTGCCTTGATTGTGAGGCTGTTCCTTTTCAGCCTGAGTTGAAAATGGAAATAGGGCCCTTCCAAAGCAATGGAAAGCTTGCTGTTCTTACCAAGATTCAGCCTTTTTGTTTGAAAAATGCCTGGATTGTTACAAGCCTTTGTTTAATTTCCAGAGTTTTGGAAAACTTGATTTTGTCCGATTTTGCTGATGTTTTCTTTGCTTCCTTGAAGGAACAAATTTTCAAAGGTTCTTAGGGTACCTTTTTGAAAGGATCCTCCCCTGTTTGCTTTTATGACTATAATATTTTCTCATTTATTTGGAGATGTAAACAATATATTAAAAACTGTTCATAGTCTCTCCTCTAAATTGAGGGGCTTCCCTGAGAGCTCAGTTGGTAAAGAATCCGCCTGCAATGCAGGGGACACCGGTTCAATTCCTGGGTCGGGAGGATCCGCTGGAGGAGGGACAGGCTGCCCGCTCCAGTATTCTTGGGCTTCCCTGAGAGCTCAGCTGGTAAAGAATCCGCCTGCAATGCAGGGGACACCGGTTCAATTCCTGGGTCAGGAGGATCCGCTGGAGGAGGGACAGGCTGCCTGCTCCAGTATTCTTGGGCTTCCCTGAGAGCTCAGCTGGTAAAGAATCCGCCTGCAATGCGGGAGACCTGGGTTCAATCCCTGGGCTGGGAAGATCCCCTGGAGAAGGGAGATGCTCCCCACTCCAGTGTTCTGGCCTGGAGAATTCCATGGACTGTGTGGTCTCTCCTTTCAATTGAAGTGTTGGGGTATCCGTGTGTTCAGTTTAGTCTTGTCCATACTAGAAGTTTTGCTGATGCATTATAATCCTTGGTTACCTGCTCACATTGAAGAGTAGCAGACTGAAAAGCCAGTTATAAGCTGAGTGTATAGGTAGAGTTTGTTTACCATGAGATTGCTAGTATTTGCTTTTAGGAAGTTATTTTAAATTTATATTATAAGCTGTTCTAAGAACGAATAATTTGATCACAGTTTTGCAGTAAAATAAACACCAATTGGATTGAGTTGAATATAAAATTTAAATTCAGAAAAACCAGGGTAAAAATGATATTGGATTATTTGTCAAACTAGTGAAGAAATTTATTTTATATTTGAGATCCAAAGATTTAAAATTTAAAAAATGCAAAAAATTGGTGGCTTTAGCAGGTAATCATTAGCTATGTATTCAGTGTCTCTGAACATAGAAAACTCACCTGTTAGACTTGTGCAGATTGATAGGGTCCAAAAGAGGCGTTGTGTATAGCTGTGCTCAGAGCAAGTAGACAAAAGCCATTCTTAAGGGAGGTTTATTGGTGTTGAACTGTCATGAAGCCAGATTACTGCTCCCTGGAGGTGACCATCTTGACAGGAGCCGTGGCCTAGGCATTACTGAGCAGTGAAGAGGGCAGCCATTGAGATAGGAACATGAAAGCAGGGGGAAGGCCTGTCTGCTGCCTGAAGTAACTCTCAATTAAGGTGCAGGTGCCAACAATGGTAATCATTTTAGCATTTTCAGGCCTGGTTGTTGGGCCTGCTGGTTATGGCTAATGTGGCCACAGTGAGTAGGCGTCACCTGAGGTCTACATAGAGTCTGCAGACACTTCCACAGTTGACATGGATAATGGTGAATACTGTCCTAGGAATGGAAGAAATACTCGCCCCCTCCCAGTGATTTCAGGGAAAACCAGCTGGAGATCTCCTTTGTCCCTGCTGGGCAGACTTGTAGGCCTGCTCATGTCACAGGGCATAGTTGTGACTCAACAAAGGGGTAGCTTAGTCAGGGCAGGCCCTGGCAGCCTGTGTAGGGATATCATTTATGGGCTTGGTAAGCCATTGGGAGTCTTTGTACTTAGAAAAGGGAAGGTGATGGACATCATAAGAACTTGATTCTAAGACATCTTGCCAGATTTTCAGTGAAACCTGGAGTAGAAAGTGAGTGGTAGTGTTACTCATCTGGTCCAGGGGCAATAAATAGATCTTTAATTCAGTGCCCACTGTGATTCATTGGTGATAGCTGTCTGGAGCAGTTCTGAGGAGGCTTCTGAGGGTGCATCTGGGCTTACCTGGAGAGATGGGTTAAAAGATCACTATCTGTCATGAAATGGGAAGCAGGAGAGACAGTGCATCTGGCCAGTTCACCTTCATTTCACCCCTGTTCACTGATGCGCATTTTGGGTCCTCTGGATCTTAGAATGCCACAGGGTAAGTAGGCTAGAATGAAGTGTAGAGGTAAATAGGCGCTCTAGATGGTGGAAACTTTCCAGTCTCAGCACCTAGGTAGCTCAGTGCTGGCCCAGTGAATGAATGCATGTGTGAGCTGACACTGGAGTTTGTGAACCACCTAGCTTTCCACCTTTAGGGTGGGGGCAGCAGCAGGTACCAGCCCTCTTAAGTGGTGATGTCACCCTCTTGCCTGACAATGCTTGGTGTGCACAAAATACCAAAGATGATACAGGTCCCATCCCTACTCCCAAAGGGCTTCCATCCTGATTGGAAAGGAAATCAAACTTGTTTGAAGTGATTAGCACTTGTATGACAGGCTGGTTTGTAAGAAAGTGCTGATATTTCTAGTCTGGTCCCTGAAATGGGTGGCACAAGTTTGAATGCAAAAATGCATGACTTTGTAATCTCAGCCTTTATGCTTATTCCAGCATACCTGTAATTTGCTCAGAAAAGCCTCTTTTTTCTTGACTACAAGGTAGGGTTCCAACCCATCCCCGTTCCTCGCATTTTTGATGTCACTAGGATGGAATATTTGGACTAGTTAAGGAGTTTCGCTGCTTTCAAAATGTCAAAATGAAAGTGATCCATTAATAGAAAATGTGTGTCATGTGGATTTTTAAGGTGAAGATTATCCAGTCACAACATTTACTTTTAGAGAAATTAGAGCATTTTTTTTAAATAAGCAAAAGTCACAGAAAAAGCTTTGTATTGTATCAATGCATACTGAAAATCTGTAAGTTATCAGCAGTATGTGCTTAGAAATAGGAGAAACAAATACTTTTCGTGATGCATGCATTTTGTTTGGAGATGTCAGTCAGTTTAATATAATGTCTGATAGCCTGGCCTCTGATTCTTACTCTCGGGTCTGGCATCACCGCCCTGACCAGCTGTGTCACTTTAAGTAAGGGGACCAATAAGGAGAAATCTAGACCCTTCTGTAAAATGGGTATGATCATACATAATTTCTTATACAGCTGTTACAAGAATTGAAGGAGATCTTCCAGTTGGAGCCGTTAGGTCAGTGCTTGGCTTGAAACAAGCGTGGCTCATTTCCTGTTGGCATAGTTACTGTTGTTATTAGATGGGTCTCAGTGAGTAAGACTCAACTTCACATTAGTGTAAAATATAACTGTAAACAATGATGGCTAATTGTTTATATATATATATTTTTTCATACAGGTTGAATGTAATTTTTACAAAATTTGATGAAGTCCAAAAATCTGGAAACATGATACAATCTGCGAATGGTGAGTAGAAAAAGCAACCATTCTTCTTGTGCTTTTTCAGGTTTGCTTTTAGCCTTAGGAATGCTGTCTTCTGATTCTGAACAGCTGGATTTGGTATTGCACTAAGCATTTCTAGGTGTGAGCATTCAACCTCCGTTTACCCACCTTCCCAGGCTGGAAACGGTGGCCTTGTCATTGACTTTCTTCCGTAACCTGCACTGAATCCATCGGCTAATCTCATTGGCCTATTCTAAACCTGCATCCAGAACCCCAAAGATGCCCGGTGTAAGCAGCACTCTCCTTCTGGTCCAGGGCGCCGTGGCCTTTTACCTGCGCCCTTGTCGCAGCTCCCAACCAAGATGCTTGGCTTGACTCTCTCCTAACACCCGAGCCTGTTTCACTCAGCAGCTGGAGCGATCCTTTTAGAATGCAGTGCAAGTGATGTCAGTCCTTTGTTCATTCAGAATGCTCTGAAGGTTGCCCAGCTCAGGGGCTCACGGGTGCCGCTGGGCCCTGTTTGGTCTGGTGCAGCCCCCCATTCTGGGATCATCTTGTATTGTTCTTCTCAAAAGTTCTCTTGGCTCCAGCCCATTGGCCTCCTTGATAATTTGTAGCGCTTTACATTTGTCCTGCTCCAGGGCCTCTGTGCTCCTGATTCCTTCTGCTGGAGACACTTGCCCCTGGCTGTCTTTGAGGGCCGCCTTCTTGCCCCATCCAGGTCTCAGCTGCAGGCTCCCTTCATTACACAGGCGTCAGGATCAGCATCCCCCGTGTTGTGAGGGGATGCACTCTGCGCTCATCCTGCTTGGTTTTCCTTCTTAATGTATATTACTGCAAAAACACCTTTTTGTTTGTTCATGAGGGTAAGAACTTTGTTTTATTCTCTTCTTTATCCTAGTGCCTTTTGGGAATCATCAAAAAGTCTGTTGCCATCAAGAACGTTTTTAGTCTTGGATACCTCATTGTATCATAGCCATTTCACAATTGCTGGGGATCTTAGATCATAGCATAGTTTTTACATTTCGAGGTTGTTTAAAAAGTTTGAGTGATTTCTCCCAGAGTGACACGGTACCTAAAGGCAGAGTAGGAACAGAATCCAGGTCTTGTGACTCATGCCCCAGCTGCATACCCATTTTGTCAGTAAGGAGTTGTCTTTAAATAGCTTGTTTCTTATAAAACACTTTCATTAACCCTCTTATTTCTTTTTTGTACATTTGTAAAAACATTATAGCATTCAAAAAAAGATTAATTACGATTTAGCTATCATCAACAAATTATTTTTGTTTTCTAATTAATTTTCCTGTAATTGTATAATTTATATTTAACCATGGCATAATTTATATTATGTGTGTGTATGTGTAGTTTGTGTGGTTTTCTAGTTTAAAACTTGCTGGCACCAAGATAGAAAGTACTGGGCAAGGTGGTAGGAGGGGTGGCAGAAACTGAGTTTGTGCTTCCTGACTTTATTGTATATGAGACAGCATCTCATTATAGTGAGATAATGGCCTCACTATAGGCCATTATCATATAGGCCTCATTACTATATAGGCCTCCACATCCACACTGGAGGCCTGCCTGGAAGATTTTATCAAGGCAAGGTAGTGCTCAGGTGTGTTCCGTTCTTTCCGACCTGTAGACTGTAGCTCCCCTCACCAGGCTGCTCTGTGTGTATATCTATACCTGTACATACATTAGTACACACACACATATACACACACACACACATATACATACACACACACATATACACACATACACACACAGATACATACACACATATACACACATATACACACACACACATATATATACACATATATACATGGACATATATACATACACAGACATACACACACATACACACACACACACTTCATGAGTATTTTTTCCTCAGTTTTATTGAGAAGTAATTGACATACACTGTATACTGCTGCTGCTGCTAAGTCGCTTCAGTCGAGTCCGACTCTGTGGGACCCCATAGACGGCAGCTAAGGACTATATACGTTTAAGGCATACAGCATGGTGGATTGATTCATGTATACTTTGAATAGTCTATGATTTTTTCTTTTAATTTATTTTTATTTATTTTTGGCCTCACTGCTATGGCGTGTGGGATCTTAGTTCTCCCAGCAGGGACTGAACCCACGGCTCTCGCGTTGGAAGCACAGTGTCTTAACCCCTGGATCGCCAGGGAAGTCCCTATTCTATGAGTTTTAATGAACATGACAATATGATTTAATCCAGCATCCTGTGGCTTTGGGTAGTTCTCAGCAATGTTTTAATCTAGTTGTCTCGGTAAGAATATTGCCCCCAGTTTCCTTATTTTTGTGGAGTATGTGTGTGTGTGTGTATGTCCATATGTGTGTATGCATGTGGTATAGAGGTAGGGTTGAGGGTAAAAACAGTTCTGTTATGCATCTGTATTAAAAAAGACAGTTTGTAAGAACTTAACTCAAAATTTATTAGAGACTTGTTCAGCTTTTTACTGTAGAGGCATACTTAGGAGATACTGTGGGTTTGGTTCCCGACCACTAAAATAAAGCAAATATTGCAATAAAATGGATCATGTGAAGAATTTCATTTCTCTGCACTTACAAAAGTTATATTTACACCAAACTAGTTGTTTTTAGTGTGTGATAGCATTATATCTGAAAAAAAGGAAATGTATGTACCTTAATTAAAAAATACTTTATTGCTAAAAAAGGATACTAACCATCACCTTGACCGTTCAGTGAGTCATAATCGTTTTAAGATAGTAACTTCAGTGATCACTGATCACAGATCACCATAACAAATAGTACTAGTAATGGAAAAGTGGCACAGAGACACGAAGTGAGCAAGTGCTGTTTGGGAAAATAGCTTCAGGAGATTTGCACCTTGCAAGTTTGCCAAAGACCCTTCAAGTGAAAAAAAAGAGGAAGGAGGGAAGGGAGGAGAGAACTTTGCTGTGTCTACAAAGTGCAGTAAAACGAGGGACACCTGTTGGCTCGTATCCTTACAGTTTAACTGTTGGCGCCAGAATAGAATAAGGTAAAGGTGTGTGTGTAAAGGCTTTAGAATCCCTGACCCAGACCGTTCAGTCTGTCATCAGTAACTTTGGGGGATCAGCAAGATGTGCTCACTGCCGTCTACAAGCAAGAACGGCTTTGTCTCTCTCAGACGTGTGTTCTTTTCTTTTCCTCTTCCTGCCTGAGTGCCCTGGCTGGACGCTTAAAGTAAGAGTGGTGAGAAGGAGCTCCTTGCCTGGTTCCCAGTCCTAGGGTTTTCATGACTAAGTTTGATGTTAACTGTAGGTTTTTGATAGTGCTCATTGATTGCTATTTATCTGAGTTTTTATCACAACTAGGTGTTAAGAGTTTTTTTCCAAAATCATCAGCATATTTTAAATATTAAGATATAATTCATACCAAAAGAATTCACCTTTTAAAAGTGGTTCTTCATATATTCAGAAAATCTTACACTTATCACCACTATCTAACCCCAGAATATTGTCATCAGCCCCAGGAAGCCTTGTGCTCATTAGCACTATTTCCCTTTCCTTCCAGTCCCTGACAGCCTACCTTCTATCTCTGCAGATTTGCCTGTTTTGGACATTTTGTATAAACGGAATCATATGGTGTATGGATTCTTTCACTTAACATGATGTTTTTAAGGTTTGTCCGCCTGGTGTGTGTGTGTATGTGTGTGTGTGTATATATATATATATATATATATAAATGTATATATATGTGTGTGTGTATATATATGTATATACATACAAGTATTTCGTTTCTTTTTATGGCTGAATAATATTTCTTTCTATAACTATACTGTGTTTTATTTATCCACTCATTGGTTGAAGGACATTTGGGTTGAGCTTTGAGTTTTTCAGCTGTGGTCTTTTCAAGATTGTTTTGACTCTTCTGGGTTCCTTGCATTTCCATATGGATTGTAGGGTTCTGATAGGGACTGTGTTGGACCTGTAGACCGTTTTAAGGAATATTGTCATCTTAGCATCCTTCAGCCTTCCAGTCCATTAACATAAGATACCTTCCAGTTGATTTAGGTCTTGAAGTTATTTCAACAATGTTTTGTAGTTTTCAGCGTACAAGTCTTGCACTGATTTTTTTAAATTTATTCCTGGGTGTTTCATTCTATTCATTCTATTTTTTGGTGGTATTGTAAATGGGACTGTTTTCTTCATTTTATTTTTGGGTTGTTTAGTGTCACTATATAGAAATATGGTAGAATTTTATATTTGATCTTGTATTTGGCAGTCCTGTTCAACTTACTTATTCTCTTGATTTTCCCCTCCAGTGGCTTCCTTAGGATTTTCTGTTTACAAGATCATTTAATCTGTGAATAGAGATTGTTTTTTACTTTCTAATCCGGATGCTTCTTTGGCTTCTGTTGAGCCTGATGATACTATGAGTTACATTGCTTTATTTTTTTTTTAATGGTAAACTATTCTCTCATACTTGGAAATAAATCCCACTTGGTCATAGTGTACAATTCTTTGTGTACAGTGTTGTGTTCGGTTTTCATTACGTTGTTGAGGAATTTTGCGTGTAACGTCATGAAAGAGGTTGGCCCACGCTTGTTCTCACTCTCCTCCCCCAACTTGTCTGGCGTATTTTAGTGTCTTTCAGTAAAATCAGGCACACGTATGTCTCCATCTGGCTTTTCTCATTGCTTTGCCTGTCTCCTCCCCTATATAGCACTTCTCCTGAGTGGTTTGTGTTAAAAAAACAAAACAAAATTCAGCTGAGTAAATTTTACAGTCTAGTTGGCTTTATTGAATGGGTCTTGAGTTGGGCAGCATCGCATCTGGTGAGTGTGAAAGGGAAAGATTTTTAAAAAGACAAGACAAGGAGGTCGTGTTCAGAAGAGATTATTTCAGGCTAAAGTAATGCACCTGTGGGGGATGGGATGGGGCTGTTTGGTAGTGACCTCATCTTCCTTTGGGGGCTGGAGGACGCCCAGGAGACAGATGAGCTCATTGGTGCAGGCCGGGAAATGCCCGGCCCACCACAGGACACTGC